AAAGTTTAATTTTTAGTTTATATAGAAGAAATTGATTAAAATCAACAAATCGAATAATAAACAAGTATGGATAGCATAAGTTGAAACAATCTAATAAAAAGTGACATAACAAATTTAATTAAAGATGTGTCAATTAATTAACAAATTAATGATATGTTTAAACTACCATTTTTATTAACACACAATTAATTAGTCGTTTTACTTTTAATGGATTTTAATAGAATACTTATTTTACTGCTTGGAAGTTACCAGCAAATATGAGCTTAAAATTCAACTTAAAAGATTTTGTCTTATGAAATTCTTATTAAATTCTTATAATGTTCGGCCCAACAATTAAAAATAATTTAAATTGTATGGTGGTATAGTAATTTCATTTTTACGTAAAATTAAAAATATCAGAAGTACGATTTTTAATATTAGCTAGATTAGAACCTTTAACATCAATATAGACAATTTAGTCGAGGGTACTTAGCATTCTGACGCTTTTGATTTTCGAGAGTATATAATAAATTCGAAACATTTTGGTTATACTAAAAAGGGAAAAAATTTACAAAACATCACGTTCCAAAAAAAAATTCATTCAATTATTTTTCGTAAAAATATTAAACGTTCGTTTTAAACTTGCATACTAACATCATCTGTATTGCAATGTTTAATTTGCTTCATAATTATATTTGTTATAAAAGTTCCAGCAGTTTCCATAGAGGCTAAGACCACAGAGCACCATTTCAGGTTTAGAACTGGCGAAATTTCCAATTGCCTTAGTGTAGTCTGTAGTGTGTTAAGGAACAATGTCTTTCCTGGTGCAGCGACAGAAGTAAATAGAATGTTTAATCAAACAGAGCGGAACCTGGGGCGAACCGTATGCAATTATTTGAATACCGCTTGAGCCGCTTACAGATCAATAGCGCGTCGGTGGCGAAGGCCCGGAAGGGCCTCTGCTAATTTATACGCGGCCAGATTAGATTTATGCATACAGATTGCCATGTAATGTGCATTTGCGGATGAAGAACCATCCCGAGAAAATTTAGCGGCACTTTTACCTAAATTTAATTGAAAATTCATCTGGCGCAATCGTTTTTTACCAAATCTAACTTTGTCAATATAAGGTTGCTCTCAAATCATTAGAGTACTTACTCTCAAATTATGTGTAATAGGCAAATACGAAATTTAGCAAGAAATTTGGCAGAACTATTACTTGAATATATTTAAAAATTCACCTTACCACAGGGTTTTTCAAATCTCTAAAAAAATTCAATTGCTACTATTTACAAATGTTCAAGGAAATTGCTCTCTAATTCCAATTCGATGTCATTATTTTACTCTATGATAAATGAATAAGGTAAATGCTTTCAATTTATGAGTTTCAAAGGAGCAAATGCCGATTAAAACTCCCTAAAAAAATTGACAAAACTTGGAAATAAACATGTTTAGTAATTTTAATATATCATATTTTTAATTTAGCACTACTGGAGTAAACTTTTACTTCAGGCCAAATAAATAGGCGAAATCTTCTCAAATTGTGTGCAATGAGCATTTTATAAGGATTACAGAGTTCCTCAGAAAAGTTCGTAAAAGTTTTACTTAAAAACAATTAAATAATCTTGTTTTTTTCTAATCCGTCATTCATGTTTCTTGTGACAAAATGATTAAGCCTATACTTTTAAGCGGATTATTTTTCTATCGCGTTTGACTTTGAAAAATGTATTTATTGTTTACTATTTCCACATTGCGAAATTCCGTATATCATTATAAGCTACGGACTGCATAGCTTAGTGCAGTTTTGAACATGCGGATTTGCGTGCCCGTGACACGGTAATGTATGTACATACTCGCGATAGCAGCAGGCACGGGCGTCGCTCAAACCGGCCGGTCGCCGGTCGACGGTCGCCGGTCGCCGGTCGCCGGTCGCCCTCTTCTCGGGACATGTGTAATAAATCCCTCAGATTTGACTCGCCAGTCGCAGTCTATGACATTTTACCTATTCTGCCGTAACAAATCCCTCAGTTAATTTTTCCCTTTGGCGAATCGAAATGACGCGTTGTTTTTGTATTTTATTTATTATTTTGTCATACCAGTTCATTATTTAAAACTTATTAAATAAACTTTTACGTGGCTTTAAAATATTTTTCAATTAAACTTATATAAAGAACATATGAAGATAAGATGAGAATAAAATCCTCAACAAACATTGTGTGTATTGAATTACTGATTCTTATTTATGAGTACTGATTCTTATTGGTTATATCGTCCTGAATAATTTAGGCAATAAATATTATACGTGCCGGGTTACTTTTTAACATAAAAAATTTAGGGCAACCATCGGGTTTCCTTCTAAAAAGGCCACATAGTTAAAAAGTATCATAATACCAACTTATAAAATAACTAAATCCTGATTGCACAAAAGCTCAAAAGAGTTCAAAAAACAATTAAAATATAGTATTCAATTCTTCAAATAAATATGTCTAGGGTCTACAAATTAATATAATTGCTAATAGGGTTTATTAGCGTCAAGTTGTATCGCATAGTGCAATTAAATTATTGAAATACAAAAAGTGAAAATTAATAATGAACAGGAAAGACATTGGGAATTTTGAACATAGATTCGACATGCTGCAATTCACAAGTTTATACGAAACTATTATATATCTTATCAATATGATTCATACCGACTATGCAAAAATTTCTCAGAACCAAATAAAAGTACTTAAAAAGTTTAAAAATGATAAAATAGGCTGAAATAGAATATGATACACGTATGGGACATTAATTATCAAAATATTCGCATAATTATGATTGTAATTAAAATTATTTATTATCTGTAAATTACGCAGAATATATCAAATATTTTGTGCGGTGAGTATTCAATTCAGAACAATAAACTGATTTATCACCCAAATTAACAAATATATCATATTTTTAAAACAATAATGTTTGTTGTGTTTATTCAATTCAAATGAAATAACAATCGCATAAATTATAATGATAAAGTCTATCTAATCCATATGAATACATTTAACAATTGGAATATAAATGGTCTGTTTAATTACCGATTCTGACGAATTTATAATGGAGTTAGATTTGTAGATTTCACTGTTAAATGTACATTTATTTGCTAATTGATGTAAAATATTGCGAATAAAATGAATCATATATATCATAATGACTTGAAGATATGAAAATCGACATTGGCAAATCGATTGAAGACGGGCTCCTCAGCAGAGAAAAAAGAGTTAGATTATGCAAACTAGTGTAATATTTTAACTAAATGCTTATATTATTTTGAATAATATTTGTGTTAAATGTGATATTGAAAGAAATCAGTTATACAAATTGAAGGTAAAAACTGGGGGGTTGCATGTAATTTTCCATAGAAACTTAATATAACTTCTACAAGAAGACAATTGACTAGTTAATAATGATTAATGAAATTAGGAAGTGTGTCAGAAGGATGAAAATTGAGGTTTGCATGTATTTTTCAATCTTCAATAATAAAATTAATCCAGTACATTAAAAGATAAGTGCTAAAAGTAAACAACTCTTCATGATTTTTTTTATATTAAATTGAGCTTTCTCATAAGCTGAAAAAGTCTCAATCATAATTCAGTCGTTGTTGATAAACCAAATGAATGTTTCAAATTTTGAATACGATTTCAACAATTTAAAAAATATTTCCAATATCACAAAGTTTACTACTGAAAGGCCGGTCGTAAGGCAAAGATGCGCCTCGGCAATTTATTATAAAATTTCATATATCGCAAATATCGGGAGCAAAACCTCGTAAAAGTTCCAATAACGACAACGGCGGCTCTCGACTTTTTTGAAACTATTTTCTACTTAACGGGAGACGCTCGAGTGCCGTGTATCGAATCTAAAATCCGTTTCTACTTCCCGCGGAAGTGCCAATAAATATATCGCAAAGGAAAATATCGGAAAAGCTCAAGATGAAGATTATCGATCGCCCGCTAAAAGACGCCGATGTGAGCTTTTCCGAGCCTTCGGGAATAATTGATGATGTAAATGTCAAAAAATAAAAGTGGCATGGCAAAAAATGAAAAAGCAAAAGACAGTCAGAAGAAGATAAATAAGCGTAATAGTCGCTCTTTGAAAGGGCGTTGTTTTTATGTACTCTAACAGCAAGGGAATAAAGGATCATTAAATATTATTTATTGTTTAATAACATATAAATTTAAGCATTATTCGCACCTAACATATAACAACATTTTGTCCGTAATATAATATTTTTTTAGTGTTGCATGCTCTAGAAACATGGCTTCTTAAAGTATGAGTTGCAACCCCAAATGGGTCCTCGAAGCAAAATTCTGGTGCCGCGAGATATTTAGATATACCATCTTTTTATCATTTTGCTCTATGGACTCTACCATCTCTCTATGGAAGAAAGATGATAAAGTCCATAGAGTCTTAAATATAAGAATCATCTCTATATTTGTTTCATTTACTCCACAAGGAAAGAATAATTTTCCTATGAATAAATTATTGAACAAAAAATTATCGAATTATTATGATATGAATTTAGTTTAGATTTGAGGAAAGATTTTTCATATTACTCAAATTCGTACAAAATCCGCATTGGTAACTAGTATACCTACTATTTGCGAGGTCAGGTCATATAAAATATATAATAGTACCTACATATAGTATAGAATTATTCTACATCGAATGCATTGTTATATTTGAATTCGGCAATTCTGATAGAGATGTGTGGAAATAAATGCAGGTTAGTAGCACAGCAATATGTTCATGTATTAATTTATGTATTGCTGTTTGCATAATTCGTGCTCTAAATCGAATGCAAATAGCATTGTTATTGCGATCATAAAATGTTATAGCTGATTACAATTATAACGAATGTAAACGGGTTAATTTAATTGGAGATTGTAAAAGAATTATTGGAAAATTAGATTGATAAACGCATATAAATTGATTAATTGATTAAATGAAAAGCTAGGTAAATAAGAGGTAAATTGATTTTTCTGTACCTGATGATTGCTTTGCAGCGTATGGCGCCAACAGGCGCGACCGTTTCTTTTCATATCCTTTTTGTGTGATATCACCTGGAATACAAAAAAACTAAATTAATATCGATTAGTATATTTACCTACATTTTTGTTGTTTTGAAAATATTCTATAAGTCTATGTGTTGTAATAAATTGCCGTTTTGTATAATAAACACGGATAATAATATAATAAAGGAACTCATCATAGAATTCTGGAACTGTGCCCAAATGAAATTAAAACTTAGACGGCAAAACAGAGAGCTTAACAGACTGTTGGGCGTTAGTCGTGCATTATGTGCATTTATTTATTTCTGGGCTCACGATGTTAAGGTTCCGAGACATGTTCTTGACGTCTTTTGATGTTTTACTTATAAATACTCTTTTAGTCAGTCTAGATTGGTGGTCTGGATTAGAATACCTTAAACGTGTTAAGGAATTAATAACAAGAATTATAATATCTCGTAAAAATATACATAAATGTATATTTATAGATACATATATAAAAATTTAAAGTTGAACTTATAAAATTAATAAATTATATAAACTTCTTTAATTTGAAGACTTTGACTACTTTATAATTTAAATATATCTCGATGTATCAAGAAAAAAATCATTAAACAACAACTAGGTTTAAGTGGCATTTTGACTAGAGGTAGCCAAACCTCAATTTTTAAAGATTAAGCATTTGCAAACATAGATTAGAAGTTCATGCAATTCATATTTAAAAAAAATTGCACTTACACTTAATTTTAAATAGAAAAGCTAAATATGAAATTGTTTGATATGAAATAGTAAAATGAGATAGTTTGAATCAAAAGAAGTAAATAAGAAACTAGGAATGATTTTTAGGTGGTTCTCCTTTGATGAACCACTTTTTCAATGAATTATTTAAAATATACATATTTCGTGTTTTTTTTTAAAATTATAGATGTAATTCGCTTTTTGTTGAGTATACAAAAAGTAAAAAAATAATTTTAATTTGTTGAATATAAATTTTTCTTGTTCCTCAAACCGTTTGTTTCGTAGGAACTGAATGTATTTAGGTATTTAAGAAACTTATTAATAGCATGCAATGAGATATGCAATATGGCTTTTTGAAACTTATAATTAGTTTTCACGATAACATGTGAACAATATGTGAAGTTTGTAACTTTTACAAACTTGTATATAGTTGCCAAACTACTTCGAAATTCAAACTTTCGTCATTTACGGTAAAGAGTCAAATTATTATAATTTATGTCAACCATAAAGAAAAAAATATTTAACTCAATAATTATCGAATGAATTATTATGTATCAGTCCTAAATATTATAAATATTAAATTATATCCAGTATAAATTGAATTACATTATAATGAATTTAATTATGTTATTGATTGGAAATTCAATAAATGTATTTTTAGCATCTTAGTTTTCAGTTAGAAGGTAGTAGTATAAAAAGGTAAGTTTATATGAGAATATGTCTACACATTTTTACCATAGAGTTCGAAAGGTGTACATTATTACAATAATGTATTTAATTAGTTTATTTTTATTTTACATGTTATTGCGCAGTTTTCGAAATATTTATTAAAATTTCGTCATATTGATTTTGAAAATGATAATAGTTTTAAAACGATCACTAATTGTTCCCACATGTCCGTATATGAATTATGTCATGCATTGAAAACTAACTAATAAATAATATTTTCGAAATAAAAATTATTGACTCATACAATTGTAATTAAACGAGTGACATCAAAAATGAAAGAATTGCATAAGAGTGTTCCACAAGAAACTTTTTAATCAAATAAATTTCGCAATCGCAGATCTATTATATCAGAACTAAATACTTTACTAAGAAAGTTTTATTTCCAAAAAATATTTTCGGGTAAATACATGTGAATTGAATGAACAAATCGTTATTCACATCCTTTCCGTTTCTCACACATAATTCGTTCGTAGCGCTCACGAACAGGAATCGCCTGCGATTTTCCGCACGGTTTAACTCAGTTGGAGCGCAACTTCTTAGAGAAAAATAAGTTTAGAGTTAGAAAAGAGTTTAGCTCATTCTCTTACTGTGTAAGATTCAGATATTAAAAAAGGAATAGATAGAGAAGCCAATTTCCCGATAAAATGGACCATAACATAGCGTTGTTATGACAACGCTTGCTCGCACAGTAAATACATACAATTTTGACCGTTTTTACTACCAATTCATATGAAGATAGGAGCGTAACATAATAATCCATATAACATATGACGATTTAATACAAATTAAAATAGTGGTTGTATTTCAAGGTTAAGAGTTTCCTTATCTAAGTTCAGAGACTTTGCATTTACTTCAGAAATGTAATTAGTAATAAAAAATTGATAACTTTCGTGACTTATTCCATACATAATTATACATATTTTCAAATTACGAGCTGTGCACATGGCACAAGTTTACACATCGCATATTTAATAATATCACTCTGGCGTTATTACCGTTAGGTAATGATTGTTCACCACCTCATGGTTCACTTTCAAACTTACGAGAATTTCGCGTTTGCCAAAGCGAATAAATTCAAAGTAAGAACATTTTTCGAACAAATATTGAAGAAATTTATTGACAGCGTCAGTTGTTTTTTTCGAAAGCCCTATGCGGTTTAATTCGGACGTCTTATATAGGTTCGAGTTTCTGAAATGCCAGCCTACGAAACAACGGTTTCGCGTATACACTTCAAAACGAAATAACAATCGCATAAAATATTCACCAACGCATATATTCCCCATGCGAGGTATTAAATTTATACTTTGCTCTCAGCCAGGAGCAAAGAACATTTAGCTATCAGGTATTGCATATGTTTTTTTGTATACATTTTGACCAACATCCCTCATTAGTCCAATAAATTTAGCACTCTGAATTTTTTATTTTAAATAATCTATAATTTTCTATAAATTTTGACAAATATTACATATCGCTCCAGTAAACACAATAATTGTGGGACATTTTTTTCTATTTTTAATTATCTATGTTTTACAAACATTCAGACAATCCATTTATACTATTTAAATGTTGATAAGAATTTCTCATTAGTGAGTCCAATAATTTTAGTACTCTCCATTTTTATTTTTAATAATCTATATTTTCTCCAGTCACATTGATCTCCAGTAAATGCAATGAATTTGAGACAGTATTACTATTAGATAATTAAAATCTATGTATTACAAATTTTGTCAAACATAGTACATTCATTTTCAGTAAATTAAATCATTGTGGAACCTTGTATTTTCATTTTTAATTATTTATGTTCATAAATTTTAACGTAACTTCGAATATTTTGGAATATTACTAATTATTCATTTATTTCTCTTCTTTATAGAAGAGAATATTATCAAAATTTAAGACAAATTGTGAACATAGAGCAGATAAAATTGAAAAATACAAACAAATCGAATGAAACTCATTTGTTCTTAAACTTTTCATATTTATGTGTGTGTATTCTAAGTTAATAGAAATATTTATATTAATTATAAATCTAAATTCCTTCCAGGTAATTACTAATCATTACATGTGAATCAATTCATCGGTGTGAAATTGAATTACTTGATTCTATTCTAAAAAAAATTCAATTTATTGGAAACGTTGTCAATCCCTGAGTTTGTCAATAAAGCTTGTTGCTTTCGAGGGATTTTATAGGTTAAACACTGATTTTGGAGATCCATCTTTTGATATATCTTTGAATAAATATTACATAAAATTTCACATACTCGTAAATATCTGCACATATTTGAACAAAAATTATAAGGATTGATAAATCGTTAGATAATATGTAATACTAAACTCGTTAAAGACATTACCGAAGAAAGAGACACAAAATATCACCAGAAAGTGAAAATCATTTTGCAAGATTTTTTTAAAAAAAAAGGCTACCCAGTGGCCCACATCATTCCTTCATAGGAAATTATATAAGATACGAATGAATTGCTGAAATGCATCAAAATTTGTGTAATTGCAGTTGATGTCTCATTTGAGATTTATATGTATTATTATCAAGTAAAACTCTGATATCATTGCTTGATATCAAGCTGATCTAAGATCATGGAAGAATTAAATAAACTACTGCAAAATCGAACATTAAAGAAAAAATGAACACGTGCTCTAATAAAATAATAAGCCAAAAAATGTATTTGCAAAGCTTTTCTCCCTAGAGAGATTTTTCTCAACGTTGTATACAGAAGCTAACAATTTGATTCAACTTCAAGATTCAAATTTATTAATTATATCACAAGTATTTTCATTTCCAAAAAATCTATTATTTATTCGACTAGAACGATTATTCGAAGCGGTTGAAAAGTTAATGTTACTTCAACATTTTCTAATTCTTTTTGACTTCGTGAACTGATAGCAAGCCAGTGACGGTTACAAATTGTGTTCCGAGTTGAGCTCAATTCCGCGTGCTAAAATCGCGATCCAGAGAAAAAATTCCAAAAGTTCTTTTCTCACACATATATACTAACAAACAAGAAAAATCCTCCCAGAGAGACGCACAAATTCACCATGGGATCGGTTAAAATAAGTTAACAGGCAAAGTTACTCCGAAGAAAAAAGAGTTATTTTAATACGAGGGAAAGATCATACAAATTGGGAACTGGGTCAGATTCTAGAACAAAGACGATTCACAAGGAGTTTGGAACTATAGTAAAATTTGGAATGTTATCAAATGTAAAGTTCGGAGTGACGATTATTTTAATATAATAGTTAATTCATTATGCCAGTGGAAATCCAGACTGGGGACCTATGGTTACCCTAAGTAATGCAAAATGCCACTTACCCCTGGTTAAAAAAAATATTTATTAATGTGGCCTAATAGGTATTTTAGATAATTTATTACCCATGCAGTAAACACAAAGTTCACAACTCGTCGTAGTAATAATATATTCTTCATTTCGCTTATAAATATGGATACAGAAAAGTCAATAAAATTCTAGAGAGTTTTAAGAAAAATATATACACTGATTTAATATCGATAGTTCAGAGTTATTTATCATTTTCCCATTTCAGAATCTTATTCGAAATCTCATTGCGTCGCAGTA